TGCGCAAAACTCCGCATTTGAACAGTCAATAGCAAATGCTTAAACTAATAACAAAACATACTTACAGTCGCTGATTCAGAAGCGCCAGATTGTCATAGCAAAGTCGGAATTGACACTTTTTTAAATAGCCTTTGTGCACAGCCAGCCTTGTACTCTCCTAGGTTCACAAAACTGTCGTCCGTAAAATGCGTTGCACAAATTCGAACATCTGGGTTGTGCTGTTCTGTTGTAAATAAATCTTAACCAATGATTCCTAATTGCATCTACTTCCGGAAGGCCACACAGCGTCTCCCTGACATGCTGCATCAACACTACTGCTGTTCCTGAAGCCACGCGTTCTTTCTTTGCGTGCACATTTGGGCGGTGTTATGCAAATCTTCCCACATAGTGAGGTAGATATGTGGGGGCGTGTTAGAACGAGCCGTTGTAGGTAGGTGTGGCTGACTCTTAACTTTTATAAAGAATATCTCTTTGGATTTGAGACTTTAGTCTTTGCAACTTTACAGATCTTCTTTATGCACCAAGAGCTTGTAACACTCCAAAGAGAAAGGAAAAATTGAAATCGCATCCTATGACCCCTTTAAGATTATGAACTGCTTTTGAAGATCAGCAAATAGTACAGTAGATGGCAGTGTGAGTTCACCTGAAGATTTTCTGAGAATTCATCTGCAGTTTCAGTAAGCGTTGGAAGATTGGCCAACCTTTTGCGCTGTTACCTTTTATTCAATATATATAATATACTTATGTTGTAATTTAAACAGGTATTTCTATAAAATGACACCAGACTGTCAGAAAATTAAGAGGATGGAACCAAGGATATAACTTGAGGGTGTATATACTGTATATATAATATCATGTTGTACAAGGGTGAAATATTTCAAACTGAGAGAGAGCGAGAGAGAGAGCGAGAGAGAGAGAGAGAGAGAGAGAGAGAGAGAGAAACATGCAACTAAAGACGCTCCCAGAAATATTCAGTTTCAGTAACTGAATAGGCTGCAAACTAATACGATTTCTGTTTATAAATTGCGAATTACTATTTGATCCACTATATTAAGACTAATACAGAAGATGAGTAGAACTACAGAGATACACACGTGCTGAACATAAATTTACGTGGAATGGAGAAAGACTAGTTATCTGTGGTCGTCATACTGACTGGAAAGTCAGGTCTAGGAGAGGACATGCTTAGATTTAAATACAAAAACACCTTCACACCCAAATCCCTCCTGTTGTAGTCTTATCCTAAATTTAAAACCAGCGGAACAAGAACATCTACCTGACATCCATGTGGACGCACACTCAGTTCTGTAAACCTGTGCTGTTAAATATCTGGCCAGGGTGTGGCGCAAGGTTCTATGTGCGGCTCTTGACCAATCAGATCGCTCCTGCTCCGGTTTTCATGCTTGTGGGTGTGGTTGCCGTGAAGACGCGGCGCTCCTGGCGACATCTTTCAGGAAATGAATTTAAAGAAATGAGAAATCCAGGAACTTGAACTGAAACGAGTCACGGCGGGTTGGACCGAAGAGTCGAAGAATAAACTCTCTTTAAGTTAGTTTGAATGTTGGGCACGCGGAGCAGAAGGAGATAACATGTTGATAAAGGAATTGTAAGTATTTTAGTATGATTTCACTGCGCTGAAGTTTGGATCCCGCGCTGAACTTGACTTACGGGCGCGTGTTTGGTAACTTTCACCGGCTGCTGCTTAACATATAATATTTATGTTGATTTTTGACTAATGAATTATGGATGTTTTTTTCGCCGTGTTAATTAGGTTATGTCAAATAATCTAAAATTTAATCTATAGTCCTGTTTCGGATTATATTATTTATATTCCAGGCAATCCACACCAGCAGTTATAATGAGTCATCAGTTTATTTGCTTTACAAAGTGAAAGAAAAGGGTGTACCTTTTTTGAAGTTACAAAACTGCTGAAGTTACAAACTGCAGGTAACGTTAGTATGAATGTGATTGTCACATGTTACCGTTTCGCCGGTCACGCGTCATAATGCACCGTTGTGTACGTCAGAGTGCACTTTGAGACTTATGTGCTGTAGTATACATATTAAGTGATTAAATAAAAAGTCCTATTATGACATTAATGTTCATATAACAAGCAAGCTGAATTCTACCTGAGCTAAATGAGCTGTAAAATATTACATTAGACGTCGCTATGTTGACGTTATGATGTCATTACCGCCATATTGGCTTTTTAATAATACTTGATGTTAACTGAATATGGCGATAAAGAACTTATAATTCGACAAGATTTCCAACGTCATGGAAAACCTGAGAATTATCAGGGGATTTAAAAAAACCAGGAGGGGTTACATTGTGAGAAATAATCCTGGTTTTAAAAGATTAGTATGCTTTTGTTCACTTTTTTGGTTAACTTTTTATTTTGTGGCGTTTGGTTGTAATAACATTTTCTGCAGATTCAATTATTTTCAGTATGCAGAAATCTACCTTTTTGTTAGCTTTGGTTTGTGACCAGATATTTTACCTAGAGCTGTAAAATATTACATTAGACGTCGCTATGTTGACGTTATGATGTCATTACCGCCATATTGGCTTTTTAATAATACTTGATGTTAACTGAATATGGCGATAAAGAACTTATAATTCGACAAGATTTCCAACGTCATGGAAAACCTGAGAATTATCAGGGGATTTAAAAAAACCAGGAGGGGTTACATTGTGAGAAA